CGTAATGGTGTGGACCGGCATGAACTTCTATGGAAAAACTGAGATTGCATTCCTTGAGGGAAGGCAGAATTCTGCCTGCTACACTAGTACACTGGACACCTATTTGCTTCTCTTCCTCGAAAACATTCGCAAAACCACGGCATTAGGATGCCTATTTTCCAACAAGATAACGCCTCTATTCACGAATCTAGGTTTACTAATGCCCATATTGAGGCGGTAGGCATTAGGAAGCTGAAGTGACCATCCAAGAGCCCGATTTAAACCCTATTGAGAATGTGTGGGGTCAGCTAGCGTGGTCTGTCTACAAAGGAGGGCGTCAAATTGACACCAGAGACGAATTGAAGGCACAGATCACTCGAAGTTGGGCGGGAATTCAACAGAGCTACTTTCAAGGGCTCGTGAAGGGCATGCCGACGCGAAAGGCGCAGGTAGTACTCAAGAATGGCGGTGCTATTGATGAATAGACCACCTTCTCACTCGTGTCCCTATAGATAGGAACACCCCATAAAATGGTAATTTCACTTTAGAATTTGCTACACGCATATTTGTTTAAAAACTGTTTCTTCTAGATGTTAGTCATAACATAAGTCATCTTTAGACTGAGTTGCACGATCAAATTCCCCATAATGCGAGTAGAACAAAAAAATCTTGAGTGTCCCTATAGATAATAGCAGCACTGTACCAGTGCTGCAACAGAGCCAGCAAGAGTGCGTTAGAAAGCGATGACCATATGTTGCCGTGCGTCAACGTTTCTGCAAATCGACGATCGCTTGGCTCACTCCCGAAACCAGTGGGCTCCGTAGGAGTCAGGGCGAAGTCAGGATCGGTCTTCAGGCTCTGCCCGAACAACTGTGCAAACATTGCCTGGGCCACGTACCCTAAAAAAAGGTAGACGAAAAAATAGCAATACTATAATATTCAAATACCCTAAAAAAAAAAGGATAGATGAAAAAAATACAATAATAATCAAACTGTACTGACCTGGAGGGCCCATGATCTGGACAAGAAGCTCGTCATTGTGATTCCATGCCGCATTAGTCAGGTTGGCACTTCCAGACGAAACGAAAATATCGTCTTTGTATGTAAGAATGAGTAGCTTGTAATGCATGATAGGGGTACGGTGGCGGACAGGAATGCCAGCGTTGATCAACAGCTTGACACATTCAATAGCAGACGGGCACGAACGAACCCACTTCCGGTCGATAACGACTCGCACACGCTTGTGCAGCCGATGGAGCCAGATGAGAGCGCGGCAAAAAGCAATGTCCGTCAGCGCGTAGAAAGGCAAGTCGGCTCCCGTAACAACATTGTCCTCAAGTCTGTGGAGTAGTGTGGTTCTTGCGCTGTTGCCAGCTTTAACGTAGCGTACTACAGTAGCTGTAGCCTGCTTTATAACACGGCGAGGGCCGGGTCTGGGCTAACCGCTTAGGATATTTCGGACAGTATTAGAAGTGCAATTGTAGTTTTTGCGAGGACAGCAGCGTCAGGATTCCCACGAAAGCGCCCACTCCTCTGCAAGTAGGCCTTCGCGTCAGCTTTGATGGCGGTTACCACGGCGTCTGACAGCATTGCGACTGTAGAGTCAACTTGGTAATGAAGAGTGCCGTCCCAATAAAACTGAATTGTGCCAACACTTTTAAGTTTTTCTGTAAAGTAAATTGATACAATTATTGCAGTACATAACGATAACGACAATTTTCGTTCAAAACCAAAAAAATAAAAATTACACTAAAAAACATCCAAATCATCAGTACTGGCTTCCAGCCATATTTTATTACTCAACGACAGCGAACATGTAGAACTTTCGATGAAAATGTCGCTTGCCATCCGAGCCAATCAGCATACGTCACGACGAGATTTTGGAACTATGTTATAAAGCCAACCAAGCTTCTATTATTACGACCCATACTTGACTTTTTTTAGTTGGTTCCGAATAACCCAAATAAACCGTACCGTTGGATGGCATTCAGACGAAAAAACCCATGAAAATTTTAATGGTTTTTTTTCGTCTGAATGCCATCCCGTCCAATCAGCATGCGTACCGACGAGATTTTGGCACTAAGTTATTAGGGGTTTGAATGCCATTCCATCCAATCAGATCTCTCAAAATATTTTTTCATTCCCATTTAAGTTGTGTTGGCTGACGGCCATTTCAAATATTTTTGAAAAGCACTTTTCTTAAAAAAGT